TTTTTGATGATACAAGGGATTAAACCCAGAGCTGCTCTACCACTGAGAAACATCTCCAGTCCCTTTGGTATTTTTTATTTTGATACAGGGTCTTGATAAGTTGCTGAGGCTGGCCTCAACTTGTGATCCTCCTGCTTCAGCCTCCTGAATCACTGGGATTACAGGTGTGCACTACCACACCCGGCTGTCTCACTGATTTTTCACAGTGACAGAAAGCTAATTAACACAGGAAGGAAAGATTTTAGCAGAGCTAATTGGGTGGTGGAGTTTTGTAGAAGGTAATTTGCCTCTTGGCTACAGCAAAGAAGGAAGGGGAGACCTGACTGCTCTGAAGCTATGCTCTGGTGGGAACCTCTCTCTTGGAGGAAGTCAGTACAGTCCCACTGCAGGGCAGGCTGGCAATACACCTCAATTTTTTTCTTTTTAAATTAATTTTTTTTTATACTGGAGATTGAATCCAGGGGCTCTTAACCACGGAGCCACATCCCTGGCCCTTTTTTATATTTTATTTACAGACAGGGTCTTACTAAGTTGCTTAGGGCCTCGCTAAGTTGCTGAGGCTAGCTTTGAACTTGCAATCCTCCTGCCTTAGCCTCCCAAGTAGCTGGGATTACAGGAATGCATTATTGTGCCTGACTTTGATACACATAGATTTTTGACCCAATTCCTTGTATAGGAATTTATGGAGACAATTGGGCAAGCATGCAAGACGGAAGTGTTGGGATGCATATTAGTGAAAAATTCAAGCATGGAGACAACAACATAGCATCTGTCAGGACAAGACATGACTGACTATCCATTATATAAACCAGACTGCATCCCCACCATAGAATAATGAACAGTCATTTAAAAGGTGAGGTAAATCCATATTTCTTTCCTAGAAATATATAAATAGAAAACCCAGTGAAGCTATTCTTTTTTTTTTAAAATAATGAGATGACACAGAGTGAGTAAGAGGAAGAAGAAAGTGAGAGGCAAGGTTGAGGCAGGGGAGGATGATTATGTTCTCTAGAACTGACTGCTGCCAGCAGGACTTGGACGTGAACCTGGGAGTTCTGCATGTAGAGTGAAGGAAATGTGCACCTCCAGGAGCGTGAGGAATGCTCCTCAGTGGTCAAGCAGGTGTGCTTTTGGAGCAGGCCTTGCAAGGGCGTTCCCAGGACAGGCCCAGCTGTCTGTGTCCTTCGTCAGACTCCTGCCTGTCTGGGAGCTCTGCTCTTTCCTCCAGGGAGGGACGCAATCTGGAAAATGATTCATGTGGAGGTGGAGGTGATTCATGGAGTCATAGGAGCACCGTGCATGGCTTTATATTAAAAAGGAGCCATTCAGAGATATACTTGGTGTGCTGGAAGGAAAGTAAATCTGCCTAACCACTGGAAGTTAGAGTTGTACCAAAACTTTGGATTGTACAAAAATTTAACCTAACAATTCCACTTTTGAGTATTTATTCCTGGATTCAATTCCCAGCACCAAAGAGAAAAAGAAAGAGAGAAAGGAAGGAAGGGAGGGAGGGAGGGAGGGAGAGTGAAAGAGAGAAAGGAAATAATCCAAGGAAATAATCATAAATATACAGAACATTTAACTATATGAATATTCATTAAAGCAGCTTTTTATAATAATGAAAATTAGGATTCACCTCCATGTCTAAGAATACAGGATTAGATAAATCTCATTAGCTCCTGTCAATGGAATGTATGGTCTCCCCCCAAAAATATTGTTGTATAGGTTTATGTTTATTGTCATGGTAAAATGTTCATAATATGATGTCAGTGTAAAAACTAGGTCCCAGAATAAAATTACTCCAATGTTTAAAAAGACATAATAAGGCCTGGGGTTGTGGCTCAGTGGTAGAGCACTTGCCTAGCATGTGTGAGGCACTGGGTTCGAGTCTCAGTACCACATAAAGATAAATAAATAAAGGCATTACC